AGAACGCCAAAGCAGAAAACATAGACTTTTATTGAACCAGGAGACTGGGACTCATGCCTGGGCTGCAAGACAACAAAGTCGAGACCACTAAAGTAAAGCCTAGACGAAAAACAGTCTAAAACCCAAACCCTAAACCAGGCTGCCTCGCTTTCATGTTGTCTGACATGCTTGTGATGATCAGATGATATGTTTCATTGCTCCCGTACCCAAATCTGCCGCGACTCGTGAGTCGTAGCTGTAGAGCCGGAGCGCATCAAGCATGCAGTCGACCTTTCACTACGAAATTTCATAAAACATACATTTAAGCAGTCCCTGTGCCGGGACGTTCGCGAACTGACAAGCGAGCCGCTCGGAAACGACAAAATGCTGATGGCGCATGCAAGACAAAGCCCCACAAGTAAGATGCCCTTGCAACCGTCGACCCTCCCCAACAAGCTCTGAAGCGAATGCTTATAGCCACAAAGCTATGGCTTTGTACCTGTAAAGCTTGTAAAGACGCAGCTCAACAGAAAAAAACACACACACACACTGTATCGGCTACAACGGCAGCCGCAGCCAAGTAGGGTCAGTGGGACAATACAAAAAACTCCGATGACGACAGTCTCGGCTGCGGGATACTTGCAACCTGAAGCATGTATCGAGGAACACTTCTCTCTGCTACCGTGGGGCCTGTGCTTTGTTTCTTTCCCACACACGTTGTTCAGGCTTGGATCATCGAGCTTGGGGTTCATAGGGGTCCGAGGATGCAAAAACAATCCCAGAATCATATCCAACAGGGGCAGCCTTCCGCTAGATCTTGCTTGGCAGGGATCCGTCACGGCCCCCAGTACTTCACTCTGACAGTTGCAGCAATTTCTCATGAATTGGGAAGGTACTGCAGAGGGATACCAAAGAGGACAAAGCATGTTTGGCTTACATGAGCCTCCCTCTACCGAAATGGCTTCCCAGCTCGCGCCTGTGCGATGGCTTTGGCCTCTGACTTCAGCATGTCCTGTCCCCAGCTGTCGGCATTTGGATCTTCCGGGTCCCAAGATTCGGGGCTCTGGGCTAGGCCATAGAGTTCGTCGTGAGGGGTGTTGAGAACAATGCACTGTTCATGTTCCAGCTTTTTACTTAGCAGTAACATAATTTATTAATTTATTAACTACAGCCAGAACCAGAACGGACCATGGTTTAAGTAGATCACTGGCTTTGGTATGTCTTGCTTGGGTTTGCAGGTCTGTTGCTGTTCATGGCTGAAGGCTTTAAGCCTTCGGCCTGCGAAGCAAAAATATCCCCCATTGAAGCCACTAGAGAGTGACTAGACGCGCCACTAGAGCATTTGTGGCAGCTGCCCAGAGATCACGGTCAAGGCAAGTCCAAGGAGATACCGAAGGCGGCTGCCATCGCAGACGAGTTGAAGCATTCAGAGTTCTGGCTCAGGCATTCCGGGATGGCTTGCGTCGTCTGCGAGGTGAATCTGACTCCAGCTGTCCGAGTCTCTGCCGCCTGCCGGCCTCTCAATGTTGGCCTTTGGGGAGGTGGTCTTCTCTTCAACCCTAAGCCCTAAGCCCTAAGCATCCTGAAGCCCGCTTCAGGGTTCGGCCCGGTCTCGGTCCCAACGAAGCGCGCAATTCCCTGCAACCGCCGCTGCCAAAACTTGTGTAGAGTCGCCCGGGCCCGCTACCGCAACCCGGAAGGCTGTCATCCTTAGATCTCAGAGTCCTGACCCGCAAAATCCAAAGCCCTGCGTTGCAGAGATGCCTCCTGGCCCCCTTCCAAGCAGAAGTCGTGCTTCAGGCTAGCCTGTCGACCGGGCATGGCTACACAGTTCTATCTATTGAAGGGGGGATCGTTAGAAACACTTATGAAGGCCTGTTAGGGGCTTGGCGGGCGTGATCCAAAACGTCGAACATCGCCGAAACACTCTAAGATGCCAAGTGCGCATGCACTAACATCTAAGAGCATCCGAGAAAGCTTTCGGCTGAGAAGAGGAAGTAGTCTAGAGCCCATGCCTGTGCAAGTTTTAGCGCTCAAGGTAGACAACGACAAAAGATTGCCCAAGCCCGAATTCTCAAAAACCTCCAGCTGTAAACTAAAACATATGCAAAATTATCCTTGCCGGCCCCACCATGTCGGAAACGGCTTTGTCATGGCAGCCTTGGTGGCAAGGCTGTCGGCATCTTGAGTGCTGGAAACACACCCTAATCAAATTCCGAGCTTTAGGAATGCAAAACCTGCAGCTTGAAGCTCGCTGCTCTCAAAGCCTTCGATGGAAGCCCTGTTTTTTTTGCCTCCTCAGGGCTTCAGTAGTCAGGCTCTCGAACAATGGGGCTACTGCTCCTGCATGTTCAGGATTTCGCAAGTTGCAGTGTTGCAGGGGCTGGGAACCATGAGCACGCAACTGCAACAAACTTCCTTTCAAGGCTTCCCAAACTTCAACTGTAGTTGTGGTCGGGTTTGCTGGCCGGAAGTTCTGTATGGCAAGATCAGGGCTTTAAGCAGCAGCTCGGATTGCTTCCACGCACGATGCATGCCCCAAAGCTGAAGAGATTGAAAGCTATCCGGAACCGTAACGAATCCGCGAGTCCTTTTTGACTTGTGCATGCAGCGAGGAAACTTAGGCCTTTGTACTTACTTGCAGATGTGTCTTGAGGATGCAGGGCTTGTGGGCTTCTTCGTTCCAGGACTCGAGATAGGAGCCTGTGCCAGTAGTTATAAGTGCATGGCTCGGGGGCTAGACCGCTCCAGGGCTGCGTGACAGGCGCCGAAAAAAGGTTCGGATTTGACAACCAGGAGAACATGCAAACCGCTGCTTGCAAGTGACGGTCGTAGGCCAAGCAAGCGCGATGCCGTTGCTCCGCTTGCCTTTGCTTTTGCTGTTTTGCTGACAGCAAGCCGGGACCAAATGATTCGAGCGGGGTCTTCGCTACGCGGCTGAATACACCCAAGACCTGGTCCAACCCAACACCTTGGATGAAAATCTCCTTCCCCCCCCCCCCGCGTGTTGCCCTAAGGAAACTCTGCGCCGGCTTGTTTTAATCGATGCTTCACGAGCGGGTATGCGCACATGGTCATTGCGTCGCCGACGCCTCCCAAACCTGAAAAAAGAAGAACCACTGCACAGACTACCTCTGAGACCGCAGCATGCAAAACTAGAAACAGCAGCCATGCTGCCTGCCACTACTGCGACGACTACTAATTACTGCTACAACCTCCTACCATCAGCAGCCTCACGTCTTGGAAGGGGCTGAGAAGACGGACGCTGCAAGACTTCAGCGACCTGCGAAACAGGTGTACTGCAACAGCCATGTGAATGGAGGACATGCATTCCTGCGGCCTAATCAACGAATTGAACTTCAAGTTTCCAATGTTACAGCAGACCAACCTAAACGATCTCTCTCCCTCACCCTCTCTCTGCAAATGCATGCGCTTGTTGTAGACGACACATAGATACAACGTTGACACATTTTACACTACAAAAATTAGGGTTCGCAACTTTCAATCTGAGCTTTTGCATTCCTGGTAAAACACTCACTTGCATTACCTTCCTTCCAAACCTACTCCATGTTTGTCCCGGTCAACTGCCAAACTTGCTCATCAGCCGCCGAAGCAGTCACTCGGGTGAGGGTCCCGGGCGGATGCAGGCTCAGGTACGCGATTCACCCTGGACACTACCCGATGAGGTGCTACACCGCTACGCCCGAAGGTCTGTAGAGTCCTAGGTGTTCTTACTGAAGGCTTAATTTTTTAGATCACTTGGAGATTATCCACTGGCAATGTTCACAGGTTTACAAGCCAAAGTTGTAGTCGAAGATCCCTGTTCGTCCTTCTGTGCTGTCTAAGCAAACGTGTAGTCATGAACCGTTCTCGTCCGTACTACAAAGCCTGATCCTGGGCACAAAGCTCTCCCTATCAGGGGCTTGGGAGTCGGGATGCAGTCTGACGTCGTATCACCCCCACCCACCCGAAAGAGCCATCATACGCTCCTGCCCTTTTCAGGATCCAACCTCATGCCTAACTGTCAAAGTGGTTACGGCCAACGGCTCGGAGAGTTCTGCTGCAGCCCACAGCCAAGCTCAGACACAAACGAGTGCCCACGAATCCTTGACAGCAAGCGCTTGCACTCTTCCAAGGCCTAAACAACTGCAATCCAACCCTTCTGGAGGAGAAAACCTTGTGCCACGCCAACAAGCCTACTCGATCCACATCCCCGGAACACATGCCACACACATAATAACTTTCAGAAACTCCTCTTTAGCAGCGCCTAGCGGGGCCTACCAGGCCAGGACAGCGCCATCGGCACGGGGCTCCTGACCGGCCCCGACGGTTGCGACGACGCTGCATTCGTCTATGACGGTGAAAGCTTTTGACATGTTGTGCTGCCACCAACTATCATCATGGACAGGAACACCATACGCTGTACGCTGCTCTATCAGTACTGCGACTGTGGCTGCTGATCTTCTGTGTTCTATTCGCCATTCTGGTCAGCAGCTTATCATGCAGGATTCCATCACTTGCCGCCAGAAAGTGTGACGATATCTTGTGCAGAAGGAGAGAAAAACGGGGAGGGAGGGAGGGAGGGAGGGAGGGAGAGGGAGAGAGAGAGAGAGAGAGTGAGAGAGTGAGAGAGAGAGAGCTATCTGCGGCGGCCTCTTTGTATAGCTTGTGCTTCGCACTGAATGTTGTCGGTGGTTTGCAGCATTAGGGACTTTTGGGTGCTGAGCATCCATACGTAGAACTTTAGGATGTCAACACGTATGCAGTGCAAAAATGCTGGCCCACAGACCCGGACTCGACGATCCAAGGCAAAATCCCGAAGACAGCGACATGATCCAAAGACTGCTCGAAACACGGGGTAGGACCGGATTCCCTGGGGCCACACCAGACAGGCCCATCTACCCGAGAACATACACACCACGTTGTTGGTTTGGTTTAAGTAGAGGCCGAAGGATACAGCAACAAGCACTCCAGAAAGACCAGGCAAGTTACGGCAACGCGTCCCCTTGCTGACACCCCAAGAGGAGTTGCTTCACGTACTTCTAAAGAGTAAGGCATGAAGCCCTTTTTTGTGGGGGGGCCACCAACCTCACCGAATCCAAAAAGCTTTTCAGCGCGAGTCCACGCCCTCTAAAACCTTCAGCCCTGGACAACATCAGGCTTCTGCCACCTCAAGGACTAGGCCGCAAGGACACACAGGGTATATACAAAACGGTGGTCCGTGCCGCCAGCCAAAACGCCGGTAGTCGGGTCGCGGCCTTGTCAACTTCACTTGCCGAAACTGCCGCCGAAGCAAGACAAGATCAGAGGTTCGTTCCAGAGTCTGAAGGCCTCTGTTGCAGTTCTTTCAGCTGTAAGACGGAAGACATTGTGTCATCAGTACCTGCAGTGCTGCTACAGGTTCCTGAATTTCCAGCTGAAGGTTCAGCGTATTTGCGGAGCATTGCAGGGCATGCACCATCTGAGAATTGAAGATTCCTCATACAGGCTCGGGAGGTATCGGCTCGAAATCTTCAAGTATTATTGCTTTTTGCAGAACTGCGTCTGTCGGAATTTGCGCGAAGAAGTTGAGGCTCAAATTTGTAAGTTTTCGTTGAATTTCACATCAGGCCTGGAAAGGGACCCCACAGAATGTCAGGCTGCTCGCCTCTCCGGACAGGTAAGCATCTGGTCACTTGCACTACGGACTCCCAGACCGCCATCCAGAATAACCTCTTACACTGTTACACCCCGCAGATAAGATTCTAATGCCGGCCAGCAAACAGGGGTTTTGCAAAGTTCGCCCGTTGCTGGGGCGGTGGCAAATGACCTGACCGCGGCCGAAGACGTGACGGTCCCAACCGGCCACCTTGCCACTGATGGGCTTCGGGTTGACTCGTATCGGCCGACACTGATCTCCAATCTTCCTTCAATAGAGGCGCACAACAACCCGAAACTTAATCTCAAGACCTGCACGACCCCACATGCCGCCACCGATTCGTGGCATCCTCAGCTTAGAAGCCCAGAAATCCTGCGATTGTACCCAAGAAGTGGCTGAGGCCCGAGCCGACTGGCAGGGATGCCCCATGCGCTGCAGTTCCTCCTGGCAAAGAGGCAGAAAAGGCCAGCTTGTGGCTTTCTCGGGTTTAAAGATCATATGTCGTCTGGTGCAAGGACTGATGGGCTTTTCTCCGCCCACCTAGCTGCAGGGATTTCGAAAAGAACACGACAAAAAGAAGCAACCCCTTTTACAGTAAACGATATTAGAAGGGACACCCTCCAAAACCTGCATCAGTCGGAAGGGCTCTGATAAGTAGAGAGGCCTGGCCAACTAGCCCCTGGGGGGAGAAGGGGGCGTGCCGGGGCGGAGGGTTTTGATTGGGGGACTTCATGAAGTGGGTTTCAGGATGAAGACACGTTCCTTGTTGTGTCTATGATGCTTGTCGCCTGCATGTGGAAAGGCCTGGTCCGGCATGCAGCGTATCGATTTCGAAATTGCGAGATCTTTGGGTTCGGGACGTAGTGTGGGCTTGGGGCTTCGGGCTGGCTTGGTTACTAGAGTCGGAGATCTCAGGGTTGGCCCTCAATGTGCAGAATCTCCTTGCCGAGCATGGGGATTAGTTCGATAGTACCCCGGGTACAGTTTCCTCATTATCTTATGCAGCAGTAGAGACTCCTAGACAGCAGTACAGCGAAGAAGTAAGCCTGCAAAGCGCAGAGGGGATGCTTCAACCGACACCGCGAAGCCAGCAACTCCTGCTGGCTGAGCCCCCAACACCTTGAAGCCCACAGCTCCGACACCTATCAACCCGAGACCCTCAACCTCTGAAAGCCTAGGTCCTGGATGCCAGCAACTGCAGAAGCAGCCCAGTGCATGCACCCGCACGCATCTGCCCTCATCTGCCCTCAGTAGACCCCCAAAGCCCCTACACTCTCGAAATTATCAAAGACATGCCCTAGGCCCTAACCTCGAAGGAGGGCGGAGGGCACCTGCGTCTCCTTTGGCACACCCTCCTCCAACAGAAGGATCGAAGACTCGGCCGTCTCCGGCCCGCGGGCGCTGTCTACGCCTGTCACGTATGGTCGAAGATCTTCCGAGTTTAGGGCTGGGGCCCGGGGCTCACAGCCATCGTAGCAAGCGACAAAGTCAAAGAATGATAGAGAGAGAGAGAGAGAGAGACGGAGAGAGATAGACAGGTTCTACGGTTTGCAAAAACCTTAGAACGGAGAGCTTCGGAAACAAGTCTTTATAGATGGGAACATTGGAACAGAAGGGAGGATGTTGAATCTCCAAGAAGGAGTCTGGGAGCCTCGAGGTATTCAGGATTTTTTCGGGTTCAACCGAGCAATAAAGGCACACTGTTAAACAAGAAGCCTGAAGTCTGAGTTGCTCGCAGCCTCAATTCAGGCTCGAAAGGTTCAGTATAGTTCTGAATTTCCTGGGGTTTTTTTAATCGCTTGAGCACTCTAACTTATGCTCTTACGGTCTATGGAGCTTCATCGGTTTCGGATTGCACGCGGTGCCTTGCAAGCAAAAGCGCGGCTGATCCAAGGCCGCCTCTGGCTGGGGGCTTTATCCCAAAACCCGGAAGCCGGAAGAATTCCGCCGATCGGAGTTCTTTGAGGCTTCGAAGAGATTCAAAAAATAAAAATAACAACATACATACATATTGTATGAATTGTTTATTACTATGATTATTATTGCTGTTCTTGCGCCACAGTGCAGTGGAAGCTGGAGAGCTGGGTCGCACCGCGAGGGTCTGTGCCTGTGTGATACATACGTATATACATACATGCATGCATACATACAGACATGCATACGAGTATGTACTTGTATAATATAGGTGTGCGCAAAAACGCATTACGAGCACGCATGCGACATGTACACGACGAGTTTTTGACAAACTGAAAGAATGAAAGAAAGAATACCCACGATCACAGAAGTACCAAAATGTAGCGAGACGTGCGGCAGTCAAGAGTCGTCACCCAGGCACATAAGCAGAAACATCAGAAGCACACTCGCCCCACCCACACTTGACCAGAAGGTACAATGCGAAATACAGGTCCGCAAAATCTTTCCATGAAGCCGGATGTTCAAATGCGGACGTTTCTCCGAAGCCTACTTCGAGATGCTCTATGGACTCTATGGAGTAGCGGAGCTTGCGCAGCCAGGGAGATCCAATATAGACTATAACGCATAGACATCTAGACCCTAGAAGTTACGATCTTGCGTCGACGGATCTCGGAATCTAGGTAGGGGGGAGCCGAGATCGCGCTCGGACACGTGCGGGCAAGGACTGCAACGACGGTCTCGACATGTGAAGGATTCCGGAGGTGTTGTCGCACCTAGCTACCATGCCACAACAGGTAGACGCATCCAGCGTAGGAGTCACACAGACTAGAAACCCAGACCCTAGTTTTGAGGTGCCACTTCTCGCACCATTCCGCACCTTGAGCCCCAAAATCAATTGAGCAAAACGGCTGGGATTTGGGATCTGTGCTTCAGCTCTTCAGTTCTGCGACGGCCCTAGAGGCATTTATCGCACGCATTTGGAGCCTGGCCTGCGGGTCTAAACCGTAGTCGACCATCCCAGCGAGCACCTGGCCGAAAAACATTAAGACCAAGGGTTCATGGCTTTTTGTGTTTCGGCTCTCACAACTCGGGAGCCTCTTAGGTTAAAGGGCACACTGGTACTACGCAAGGTTTCTGCTGCGTTTCTCAGCTTCAGGAGAGCAGGAGTTGTGGCACGGTCACTCGGACAATCGAGGCAAGAAGTAGAGGCGACAGCAAAACACTGAGAAGTGAAGTGGATTCCAGGGGTGAGGAGCTGAGGATCCTGAAACCGTTAGCAAACTCCAATTCACAGTCTCGGACAGTCGGATTACAACCTCAGCCCCAAGGCTTTTCCAACCCGCCATGGCCGAAGTTGATGATTTATAAAGCATCCCTGAAAGTCTGGAGAGCCTCTTAGCATGGCAAAAGGGTTTGTTGTTGCTTTCTGTGGGGATTAGATGCCCGGTGAGATTAGCAGGAATTAGCAGAATAGCCGCAAATCGCAGTCTGGCATTAATCACAACGATTGATCTCGACCTTGTGTGTGAGCTGATAGCCAAATACAGCATCGCAAACAATGTGACGCATAGTGGCAGCCATTTGGTTGCAGTCAGGTCGTGGCATGGCTGTGAGTCGGAGCCCAACCAAACAGGTCCGCAGCTAAACTCCATGCGACAAATTCCCCGCTGACCGCTTGAACTACAAAAACCAGGCAGCAAAATCAACGTGCTTCTCAAGACAAACGAGCCCCTAAACCCTTCAAAACCTGCTAGTCATCGTGGAGACTAGACCCAGGCCTCAGTTCTTAGGCGCTGGGTTCAGGGGCCTAGGGTCGGACTTTATTGGATTCTCCCAGCTCTGCGTGTTGAAGAATGTATCCGCACAACAGAATCCGAACATGGACTCCGGGCCTTCAGCCTTGGGCTGTTCGGGTTTAGTGTTTAGGCTTAAGGTGTCATGGCAACAGTGATAATAGCTAGGTGGTAAAACGAGAACCAGTGACCAATAGACTTGTGATTGAGGGCCACGCGTTGAGACCAACGTTTTGCATGGAACCGTTAGCCCATGCCCGAAAGTTGAAAGTATGTTCCAGCTTGCCACACACAAAACCCACAAAACTCGCATCAATGAAACAGACAAGCGGAAAGTCCCGAAGTCCCGCACTTCTTAGACGTATAAGTGGTGCAATAATATTCCAAGATCTTTGTGCAGGACCGGTTACACATGCTGACCTGGCTTCCCAAACACCTTGGCCGTTCTTCTAACTAATGCCCTCCACCGTTATACCTCCCCAAAGCCACACAAACCCTTCGCAATGTAAAGCCCCAAACCAAGCGTTTTTGACCTGAGAGATTGAAGAAACGTAAACGATTCCCAAACCCTGCGCACCCCGAAACTTCGAACCCCGAAGAAACGTATTTCCCGGAGTCGCCTGAAGGTGGCCCTGGGGCTGCATGAAGCCTCCGTGGCAAGGTGCAGGTGCATTGAACGGAATGGCATTCTTAGGCTCTTTACCCCAAGGGTCATTATTATTGGGTCCTCTGGACCCTTGGGGTTTACATGTAAGAATCGAACTTAGAAATAACAGCTCAATTCTATTCAGTCACGAAGCTGAAGACCTTCAAACGAGGTCCTCTACCAGCAAGCCCGCCCAAGCACAGGAACACTGACGGTTGACATACCACTTCCACAACTTGCATGCATGGGCCATTGTCTCTAAATGTCATGAGAAAGCCCCCATGTCAAGACTCGCTCCAAACCTCGAAGCCTCCAAACCCAACACACTTTTGAAACTCTGGCCTCCCATGACGCCCAGCGTGCCAAACAGCTGGCCGGAGGACTCCCAGGTGACTAAGCCCGGGATGATGGTGTGGTAGCAAAACTTTCCTGGACATCGCCAAAGTACTGCAATGAGACAGAAACAACCATCGCCTCGTTGTCAGCTTCAACCGCTGCCGGCGCCGGCAGTGGCTCTGCCACCACGACAGGCAACATCAGCATCGGCGCCAGTCTCCAAAACACAAAAAGAGGCATGCGCACGCGCATTGCCATCAACATCCCTCCTCTGCATGTGGAGAGAAAGATGAAAACAGGTGAGTGGCTTCCAGCGTTCCCAGCTTAGCAAGCTACAAGGCTTCATAAGTTCAGAGTTGAACACGGCGCCGCCGACTTCAAACGTGACTATGTTGCGCGGGATTGATGCCAACATTTCTCAAAAAACTCTGCTGGTCTCACATGGCCGACATGGCCTTCTCGACATGTCGAGGCCGTTGGTTCAGGATACGCGGTGTATTTGCACCTTCATATCCACGGCATCCGAGGATCCCATCCATCGCACAGCAGACACCGTTCAACAAACAAGCGAACCGAGCAATAAGCTACAGAAGGACATGCCTGCACCTTTACGATTCTACAATGCACTTGCTGCGCAAGGCTCGCGGCCCAACACAGTTCGGATGGCCCTCCCGCACGATGAAATTCTGCCCACCTGGGCTACCGGCTGGGAGCTTAGCGCTTTGCGGTTTCCGGGTTTCCGAGTTTGGGGAGAACAGCGAAACATTCCGAGTTTGGGAAGTCCTTGGTCGCCAGGCCGGACCCCCAGGCAAAGCTTCCCGAAATGTTGCAACATGAAGCAAAGCCGAATTCTTCAATCCCAGAAAGTCTGCCATGAAAAAGCCCAGACTTGCTGCAACCTAAGCCCATCATCGCAGGAATGACTTCTACCACAACACCAACACCATACAACAAAAACCTTTGTTATTGATGCAACTCTAGAATCTAGAAATGGAGTCTCTAGAGCTGTCTGGTTGCCACTTGTCTTTACGAGGTCAAGACGCGATTCTGCAGGGTGAAGCCGCAGCCTTCCTCGCAGGACTCTCTTTCGTCTGTTTTCTCCTCAAGGGTCTTCACTCTCACAGCCCTTCTGTCTGCGGCTACTGCTTAGGGTCCTAGATTTCCCATAGGGGTCATAAGAAGATAAGCTGTCGGCTTAGGCTTAGAAGAGAGGAGCCAGGAAAACCTCGGTTTGTTTTGGCCCCGGTTGTTCGAGCTGAGGCTGCAAGCTCTCTCTGCTGTGGATCGCTGGGACGAAAGCAAAATCAGAGTGGCCTCGAAGCACCGAGCTCCGAAGGGCGACGTCGAGCAAACAACTCCTAGCATAACGCCCGAAGACTTGGACACTAAGGTTCAATCGGTCCTTCGCAAACCGGAAGCTCTCTCCGCCAGACTCTAAAGACCAGCCCGAATCCAATAGAACCGGCGAGGAGCTGGCACGATGCAAGTCCCAAAGCCCTGGTAGTTGGAGTTGATGAAGGAGCCTGTTCACCAGCTGTGGGCGCAAGCTGTTCCGAATTGTCGAGATCCCCGAGGCAATCCGTTGACGAAGTCTTGTCCTCAGGTACCAGAAACGGAAGCGCGGAAGAAAAGCCCGCAGCCGAAAACGAGCGCCCCGCAAAGACATGCTGGTATCCGAAGCTTTGCAGGGCATTTGGCATTTCGACTCGCGAAACTTCTCAAGCTAGGCTTATTCTGCGCAGGCTTGCTCTTTCGCGTATGGGACATGAAGTTGTAAACGATTGCACGAACCGTTCTGACCTAAACTCAGACCCCGAAGGAGTTCATGGTGCCGCGGTGACCCCCAGAAAAGACCAGATTTTGCATTCTCAGAGAGAATCATCATGAAGCACTTCAAACAAGTAATCAGATGGACCAATGGAGAGTCTAAGATGACCAAGTGAGGCTTCGCTACAGCAGCAGCAAGCCACATGCGTTGCCCCAGCGGTCGGCAGCTGCGAGATAGACCTCCATGTGGCACGACTGCCCTCACCCCGAACAGAAGCTACCGCTACCCTGCAAATTTGCACCCTACTGGCAGATGCACCCTGACCAACACGCTACGACGACCGAAGGGCTGAAGCCACACCAGACCCCAAACCCAAATCCGCAGCAAATTACGGCAGCAAGCTCAACAACCACACAGCAGACCCATACCTCCAGCACTCGAACCCGTAGTGCCACATACAAGTACAGTCGGCTCTAAGAATCGTGCCACTACGTGCTGCCATCTCGTCCTCTGTAACCCTACACGCTTTGTTTAAAAATTGGCCACAGTCTGTACGCATGTACATTGTACATATATAAATATAAACATATACATATACACACGCATCTACGATAAAGACATGAACTAATCAACTGATTAGCTAATATAAACATATATTCATATATCTGTATTTGCATGTATATTTGCATACACACACACATATATATATATATGTATATACATATATGTATATACATATATGTATATACATATATGTATATACACATGTTTACCTGTGTATTTACATGTGTATATATATATATATTGATTTTATCACACACACACACACACACGCACGAGGAGGTCCCCGTAGTAGTAGTCGTAGTCGTCGTAGTCGTAGTAGTCGTAGTAGTAGTAGTAGTAGTAGAAGAAGTAGTAGTAGTGGTAGTAGTAGTAGTAGTAGTAGTAGGGTGTCCCCCCCCGGT